ATCCATATAACATATAATAAAACAGAAAAAAAAACCATAAAAACAGGCAATGTTGGAGTTAATGTATTGTAGCAAAAATTTAATGCAAAATATCCAAATCAATCAAATTTTTGGGATTTTTATTGCATAAATCTTTTGATCAGGTTCAAAAGAATGGAAATCCAAGAAATAGAATTTGGAATTAATTTATTGACATTTTTTATGTGGTATTAGTCACATAGAAAAAGTTTAGTTCACAAATTAGAAAAAGATTTTTACTTTTAAAAAAAGATTTAAAAAGAAATTAGAAAAAGATTATTATTCTAAACTTTAATTATTGTTATCTAATCATGCTCAAGTATAAATTATTGTTATCTAATCATGCTCAAGTATAAATTATTGTTTTCTAATCATGCTCAAGTATAAATTATTGTTATCTAATCATGCTCAAGTATAAATTATTGTTATCTAATCATGCTCAAGTATAAATTATTGTTATCTAATCATGCTCAAATATAAATTAGTTAGCAGCAAGCCTTGTTAGGAGATTTTGTTGCATAACAAAAAAGCGTAATGCAAGTAAATGCAACTTTACTCAATATCCATATTTACATCATTAATCAAGTTGAATTACATCAGTTTTGTATTTCAAAAACCGCATTGTAATTAAATTTAATTTGAAACCACGTTAAAAATCATTTAGTCGTTACCTTTATAAAATATCTTTAAATTAAACAGTGTTGATAAAAAATAAAACTATCAATAAAGTTGAGGAAAAAAATTTCCTTATTTCAAAAAACTTATTTTCATTTAATTTTTAAAAGTTCACATCTTAGATAAGTTTTTATATAACTAAATTAAGTTAAAACATGTTTAAAACTGTTTATAGTATATAAACATATCCTTATAAAATTCTTTTTAATATAATACAACATTTCTAGTGGTTATTTCTTACCCTTGTTATTTCTAGGGGTTATTTGTTACCCTTGTTATTCAAGTAGTATAAAAAACCATTAAAAAACAAACACATAATAAAACTTTAATGTAATGTCCTCTTGCATCTTGAATATGGAAAAAAAGGTTTCCAAAATGACAATGTGACGTAATTACCGTCATCTTCATTCAAACTACCTTCACTTGGAGAACACTGGTGATATTGTATTTTTAAAGACTCTCTCACTTTTTTCTTAAAATACACTGCCTCTACTTTAATTGTGTTATTTTTATATATCCAAAGGCACCATGGCAATTTCTGGAATGCCCCACCAAAACAAAATTTTTCCATTTTCCCTCAAAAAGTATGTTTTTGATGTTGACAAATGTAAGCTGAAACATTGAGCTTTGTTTCACCTGCATAAAATTTTCCACATAAACACTCTAGTTTGTAGACTCTAGGATAAGAGTTGTTGGGAAGTCGAGGCTTGTTTTTTTAATTTATTAATTGTTGAAATTTCGGAAATGTTCATAGAAAATGAATATAGATCAATTAACCAAGCGATGCCATTCCTCCACCATTATATGGTGTCATCAAAGCACACAAACCAACTAATGTGAATTATAGTAAGCATGATAGGGTTACCTACATATAAATCATCCAATTATTTAGTAAATCTCATTCTATCTACCTCCAATTTTAATAAAACAAAACTCAGAACAATTTGTTGAATGCGTTCAATCATGGTATATTGATTCTGGTGAATTTCAAGTTTTTTTCGGTATTGTTAATATTTACACTTCAATACCAGTTAAAAAATTAATCGATATTTTATTAGAACAACTCCATAATAGTTCGGTCTTCAATTCAAAATTATTATTTTCAGAAATAAAAACTCTTTTAGATTTGTTTGTCAAACTGTAAGTTTTTACATGAAAACAACATACACACATTAGAAGATACCGATCCTATAGAAGATACCGGTCCTATAGAAGATATCGGTTCTATAGGTTTACCATTAATGATAGTAATAGGTTATATTTTTATTAAATAATTTAGTAAACATTTTTATATTCACATAAAAATGTTTAAAAGTATAAAAATGTTTTCTGCAACATTTTGAAGAAAAAGTGTTAATGCAGGCACAATATCTTACACCACCAATTTATGTAAAATCATTATACCCATTCTTGTTTTGATAATGAGGCAGGTTTTCTCGAGTTGTCAAATAATCAACACACATATAAAACATAAAATTTAAAAAGAAAGTGAATCACACACAATAAATTTTTTTGAACACTCAGTAACAAAGAACATATCCGGAAGATACCTCTTTAATAAAAAAAATTAAAGCCGCATTCTTGTCACAATCCAAAAATAATTTAAGATGTATTAAGATGTAACTGATATTTTTTTTATCCTTCATGTTATTCACCTCCCAAGGCTGAGAAGGCCACTACATTCGAGGAGGCTATCTTTTTGTGGTTACAACCCTCTCTCAACTCTTTAACTACGAAACACAAACCTTTATGAACAAGACCGCTGCACAGTGAAAAAAGTTTGTTTATTTGAATTTCAAGTTCAAATTTGAAATTTAATTGAAACTTCAGTTACTTCCTCCCATTCTCCAGGCTACTTTTTCCCATTTCTTATTGACATTTTTAATTATTTTTTATTCCTTTTAAATTTAAAATAAATCAATACAACTATTTAACATGGAATTTTTTTATTACAGTTTTAAATTATGTTAAAAAATCTTTTTCAAAATAATTTGAAAAATTCTTGTTATAAATTATTAAATTACATTATATAAAATATATTTTAAATAAAGTTAAAGTAGAAAATTATACTGACTTTCAATATCATTAAACAAAAAAAAATTTAACAGATATGAAATAAAATAAAATCCAAAAAAACCCAAATTTACTCAATAAAATCCCAAAAAAAACCACAGGGCCAGGCTTTTTTTAAAAAAAAACCAGGCCCAGTGGGAAAAATCAGTCATAGCGGGGCATTCCGGAAATTGCCATGGTGCCTTCGGCTGGAATAAAAACAACACAATTAAAGTAGAGACAGTGTATTTTAAGAGAAAAGTGAGAGAGTCTTTACAAATACAATATCACCAGTATTCTCCAAATGAAGGTAGTTTGAACGAAGATGACGGTAATTACGTCACATTGTCATTTTGGAAACCTTTTTTTTTTCTTATTTAAGATGCAAGAGCACATTACATTGAAGTTTTATTATGTGTTTGTTTTTAATGGTTTTTATACTACTTAAATAATGAGGGTATATATAACACCTAGAAATGCTTTATTATATTAAAAAGGATTTTATAAGGATAAGTTTATATACTACAAATAAATGTTTTAACTTAATTATATTTATTTAAACTATTTATTTTTTTAAACATTTAACACAACATTAGTGTTTTATGTTTGCTTTGTTACAATTTAAATGTTTTTTTTTTTAATGTGTTTTTTTTTAATGTGTTTTTTTTTTTTTTTAATGAGGGGGGAATTATTCAAGGGTGAATTTCTAAACAATCAAAAATATATATTTTAAACAATTTTTTTTTTAACATTTTGGTTCAACAAAATCTATGCCTACTACCCATAAACTAGTAATCATTTCTAATCGATGTTCATTTTAAGATCAATCTAAAAATTTAATGATAATGAAAAAACTTTTGTTAAAAACCAATTTTAAAATTAAAAAAAAATCATCTTTTCATAAATTTGTTATATAAAGTTTACTAAACAAATTCTCTAAAATAATTTTGCCTAGAGGCTCGACTATGGTTTATCCGACAATGTATTTAAATACAGCTATAAATGCATTAAGCACTTTTGTATATTAGCACTTTCGTAACAGGATGAAAAAAATTTATTGACTTAAAACTATAAACAATAAATAGTAATAAATTATTAAATAATTAAAAAAAAATACAACTATAAATAAATTAAATAGTTGAAAAGGAACATAAAAAACAACAATAACATTTGATAAAAAGAATTTTATTTAACATGCTTGGAATTTTTAAAAGTTAAAAAAAATTGTAAAATAAAGCATTTTAAATTTTTAAAGAAATTTAAATTTAATTTAATAAAATAAATTCAAATTTATTAATAATTTAATTTAAATTTACAAGATAATTTAATATAATAATAATAATAATAATAATTTAATTTAAATTTACAAATTACAAGAAAATAAATTTAAATTAAAAATTTTTTAAAAATGGAAAGTAGAAAAAATTTAACTATCTGTTTTTATATCTAGAAAAAAAAATTATTATTTCACAATTACGGTGAAAATGTTTTTTACAACAATTGAAATTTTAATTTAAAAAAGTTTTGGTTTAACATAAATGGCTTAATGTGTAGGTGAAACTTTGTACATAAAACTTGAATGATGTAACAAGACCTGAAACAGATAATTAATTTTAACATTTTTCCTTAATATTTTACTTTATATTCAATGAACTAATTTATAAAATTTAGAATCTTTCTAAGGACAAGTTTTAATTTCAGATATTGATGACAAACTACTTTAAAAAAACTTCAAAACTTTTTAAAGGCACGTTAAACTCAAGTCAAACTATTTATAATGTAAAATTATGAAAAAAAAATATTAACTTAAAGGAAATTTTAAAAAACTAGATATTCAATTTTATACCAGATATATTCAAATTAAATTTACTTTTCAATAACACCTTAATTAATAATAATAATAATTTACTTAATTTTTTTTTTTTTTGCAACATTTGGTTTTTTAATGATTTTTTTTTTTAATATATTATAGCTTAAATATGAAGGTGTATATAACCTAGGGTATGTTAGATATAGGGTATGTTATGTTCCCCCCTAGAATATGGGCTATTAGGCTAAGATTAAGAATAAGAGGGAATATATAACCCATGATAACAGCTGGTAATCCCAAGAATATATATAATTTTTTTAATTACAATTCTTAAAACAAATTCATTATTACTGTCATTCATTCATTTATTTTGTGAATTATTCATTAATTGCATTTTTAAAAAAACTGTTTGAACATGATTAAATAATTGGTGATTTAAAAATACCTTGGGTCCTGGAAGTGCATCATTTTGTTTGAACTTCATTTTTACAGTCTGTTTACCACAAGATGATAAAAATCTGACTCTAGGAAGAAGATCTGGATTACTGTTAGAACCTCCTCTCAAAAAACTTTCTTGCTGAATTTTCTCTTCTTCAGTGAGCGCTTCGCGCAGCCTAGTTCTACAGTGCTTTGGAAATTCATCCATTATCATGACAAGACCAGCAATTTGAAAACTTTTAATAGCTACTGCAACAGGTTCATAAACACTATGTTGTCGGGAGGTATCTTGTGCAACTTCTTCGTGAGACAAGTCCCAATAATCGATACTAAAAGATTAATAACAGTTAAATTTAAAAAAATAATAATGAATTTTAATTACTCCAACTATTTTCTAATTTTATTTATTTTTTTTTAATTTCACTCCCAACAAGGCTGCAATCAACTACTATTAAGTTAGGAGTTACTAGAAAACAAATAGAGTTAAAAAGCAAAGAAACAGTTGTCAGAAGATTTGAAAAGTGGTAGGTTGTATGAGCCAGGAAAACCTGAAAATGGGAGAGTTCCGAAGAGTTAAAGTGAACTTTTCCAGATACACTGTATAAAGCAAGCTTTTGGAGAAAACCAGCATACCAAACTTTATTGAAAGCTTTAAACATGCCTAGCCTCTCCATCTAATGCAGAATATAATCTTTCAGTCTTACCAGTTAGCGAGTCAGCCGTAGAATGAGAAAATCAAAAACTACATTGATTGTCTGATAGAAAGTTATTGAACCCTACTAAAAGTTTAAATTACACACACATATTAACGCTCAAAATAATAATTTCCTTTTAAGTTAGAGATTTAACATAGTAAAAATTTTTACTTTATTTTTTTGTGGGTCAATTATTTTAAATTATTTAAATCAAAATAACAAATTATTTAATCAAGCATTAACAAAAAAAGGAACCACTTAAACAAACTGAAAAGCTTAAATCTATCCTCACTTGCTGAATAAATTTGACTCAATCATGGTATACTTTTAATAATTACTCATTAACTACTTATTCAAATACTTTTAGCTTTTAGATATGCTATTTACAAATGATTTGGTTTACTTTAGTCAAATTTTTTTATCATGTCTTGCATACATACATACAATATAATATTATATAATATAATATAATATAATATAAAATTGCATACAATATAATACTATTACATGTGTATGTGCAAAATGTAATACTAATATTACACACATGCAATGTAATACGCTTTTTTTGACTGAAACAATAATTAAACTATAAAATGAATAGGTATTTATGCTTGAAAACTTTCAAATAAAATTTTTAGTGCAAAACAAAAAAGAACTTCACAACGTATGTTGTATTTCTTTAAATATCTATGTCCCTTTGTTCAAAACTTTAGAGTTATACCCTTCACAGTGATTCTCACATGTTTACATCTTGTATTGTCTCACATGTTTACATCTTGTATTTAGTTTTAATTAGTATTAGTCTTACAATAGAGAGAAACCTTTTCCATTTATTTGATATTCAAAATCATGAAAATGATTAATCTTTTTTTTAATGAAGGTGAGGAAAGTAAAGGAGAAGAGTTCATTTATTAATTTCCACCAGGAGATGAGCTTTTTTCAGAAAGTGAATTAGAATCAGACGAATATATTTTGATAGAACTGAGACCTGTTATTGTTTTAAGCTTAAAAGATGGTTTGTACATGTTCTTGTAGTGTAATCAGATAAGTCATTCTAAACAATCGATTTAAATACTTACATGGTCATGTCTATTTGAAAAGGGGAGGGGACAGGAGTATAGACTTAGCATGATAAAGTAAGAGATAATGGTATAATAGTTTCATACATGGATATATGCAACCAATACAGCATTTTTTTAGTGTTATAATAATGAATTTTAAATATTGAAATTTATAACTTTATGTGAATATCTTTTATTAAAATGTATTCAAACTACTTTCTTTTCTACCAGGTTTGCCCAAGCAAACCTGGTAGTAAGCTTCGACTTCTGCAACTGATAAAGATTAAGTAGCTGATGACATCATAAAAAGTCATCTGAGCGTGTTACTAAGTATGGAATAACTTGTTGTAAGAATCCTTTTGAACAAATAAAAACACCCAGCAAAAATATATTTAGGCCACCAGAAAAAAATATTTCCTTTATGTGATAACCTCATTATGCATTATACGCTTTCCAACATCAGTAAGAAACACCAAGAAATAGATTTTTCAAAGCTCTGTAGCCAGCTTTGCTTTGACGACATAGAAATAACAACAGAAAGAAGAAGCCACAATGCTTTCACTCCTATAAGACAATTATGGAAGAAGTTTCTTAAAGAACTGAGGAAGCATTATGTTCCTGGTCCCTTTATTACCATTTATGTTAATGCCAGATAGCATCTGTTATTAGTAGCTCTACTATTTTATACAAATAGTACCATAGTCAAACTAAGTAAGTGTGTATTACAATCACACAATCACTTTGCCCTTCGAATAAAGGGCAAGATGACGTTATACCGAAAGTGGTGTTATTGATGTTTAATCTGACAAGAAGGTAAGCTGGTGTATTCACACACTAGCTCAACTTCCTGTCAGATCAATCTCCTAGGCATTGAAACAGAGAAAGAGAGATTTGATGTTATCATTTTTACAACACCTATGCCCTGTAATATTTTTTAATAATTTATGTATAACTGAAAAACCTCTCTAGTCAAAAAGTAAAGAAAAGTTTTGGAACAAATTTAAGCATTATATTTTAAAAAAAAAGGTAAATTTTTTTTATTTTTTTTTTCTGAAGTCTTATGGGACTTTTTTTGACTAGGGTTATTTTCTATTTAACTAAGGTTAGCAAATAGGGCACTTGTTTACCAATAAAAAACATAATATTATTAATATTATTTTGAGCTACACTATTTGAGATGAACAAAATCAATTAGATATTGAACTAATCAATTCTTCTGACTCTAAAATCTAGCTTTCTACTCGAAAAAATAAAAATGGCTGAAAGCAAATACAACTTTGATCAAGTGTCAAAAGCACCTAAAAACACTGAATTAACAAAATCACAACCAATGAAAAAAAAATTCTCTGATAACAGTTCTTTTTATAGTTGCAGGTAAAAAGAAATTTTGACAGAGAACTTTTTTATTTGAGTAAAAAGAAAAAATGTAAGTTATAAATGATTTTAAAGTAAGGACTTTATCAATTTATTTTTTCATAGTCTAACTCATACTATATAGATACAAATGTTATTTTAAATTATAATAAATTTTTATATAAAAATATGTATAATATTCATTAAGATTTAATATGATTAATTTTATGACTCTAAGTATTTATCACAGAAAAATAAATTAAAAACTATAAACTAAATTAAAAACTATAAACTACATTAAAAACTATAAACTATATTAAAAAGTATTGCAATTTTCTGTGCATTTGTGACTTGTTCATAAAACTTAATTTAAAAAACTTATAGTGCAATATAATTACAGTAAACAAAAAAATTTTGTTTTTGTAATCAGTTGAAATTTTAATCAATTAAAATAAAGCTTTACATTACAATCTTTTTACATTAAAATCTTTTTAATATTCACATATATTAATATATTTTCTTTCAGAATAAATAAAATAATTTTTTACTTATTTTACCTGCCTTAAACCTCTTTATAAATAGTAGCAAAATTACAAAGAAACATGAATAAAGAACAACTTTGCTAGCAATAGTAGTTTTATACTGTTCCTGCTTAGCGCGGAAATAAAAAGCTCATAAAAATTGATTAGCACTAAGCAAAAGATATATATATATATATATATATATATATATATATATATATATATATATATATATATATATATATACATATATATATATATATGTATATATATATGTATATATATATATATATATATATATATATATACATATATATATATATATATATATATATATATATATGTATATATATATGTATATATATATATATATATATATATATATATATATATATATATATATATATATATATATATATATATATATATATATATATATATATATATATATATATATATATATATATATATATATATATATATATATATATATATATATACTTTGAATCATTTTTAAATGATTTCATAATTCTACTCTTATAGTAGTATACAACCTAATTTAGTTATAACAACCAAAAAAACAAAAAAGAAAAAATATACCGATCAATGTTCAATTCTATTCCAATACCTGTTGATGCATCTACAGGTACATTTTCAAATCGAATTTTGGTATCAATAAATGTCAACCGAACACGAGCAAGTACTAAGATAAAAAAAATTAATTTTGTAATGACATCTTTAAAAATTTATAAAACCTAACTGAATTTTATAATAAATAATCAACTAATATATTTAAATTCTAACCAGGGCTTTGGAGCCGAGGTCTAAAAATTGGCTCAGGCTCCAGGCTCCGGCTCTATTAGAATTTTTTAGCTCCAGCTCCTGAGCGGCTTCACAAAAAACAAATCAAACATTTTTTTAAACGTTTTATGACAGTAAGTATAATTGGATAGAAATTAAATTCTGAAAAAAAAATTATTTTTGTGTTTTTTATAAACCATATGTAAAAATGCTATATTTAGTAATTATAAATATTTTAATGAGTGTAATTGTTTAAAAAAATCTCATTATATAAAATCAATATAAAATCATTATAAAAAATCTCATTATATAAAATAACAACTTTGATATTTCAAAATATCAAAAGGGTGGAGCTGGCTCAGAGCTGGTTCCAGAGCCAGCTCCAGCAGGAATTATTTTAGCTCCAGCTCCAGGTAAAATCACCATCTCCAGAGAGCTCTGGAGTTGCCCTGATTCTAACCATTGATTCATTTATTGAACTGCTATTTAAAGACTATTATATTGATTTTAAACCCTGATTATAGAATACACATGTGCATGTCGTGCTTCAATTTTGAATACATAAAGATAAGGCACTTTTTTGTAAGATCATGACGGAAATATTGTCTGAACCGCAAGTTAAGAAAGTTTTAGAAGAGTAATAACTAAAGTAATGGAAAACAAAGTGATTTGGAGGTCTAACAACGGACAAACTAGATGTAAGGAAAGAGGTAATAAGAAAAAACCTATGTATCAAAAGCAGAATGCTAGACTTACCTTTGTTAATGAAACTGTTTAACTTTTTCAAAAAGTCTTTAAAACTGAGATAAAAAACGAAATTTAATAAACTAAGAATATTGGAGCTTCAGACAACACCGTTTTGCACAGATATTTCGCTATGACGTTTATTCTCAAGAAAATTGTACTTATGAAAAAAATGAAAGATATTATTACAATTATAATTGATTATAATTACGATTACAATTATAATCTCATTTTACCCCATGGAAACCATAGGGTAAAATGAGATTTGACTTAAAACCAATGTTGGTTTTAAGTCAAATCTCATTTTACCCCATGGTTACTCCTGTATAGGTTATTCCTGCTCGTTGGCCAACGAGCAGGAGTAAAAGCTTCAATACCTAGCTGAATCCAAGAAATTACTTAATAGAAGCAATTATTAGTTAACAGACACAACACATCAGCTAAGGACTGATGTGTTATGCCTGATAAAGTGAGACTGAAGAAATATGAGATGGAAAGTTGTAATGAAATCATAGCATGGCTCTAACCACCCAAAGGAGAACAAGATCATAAGCTAGGGTTGGAAATAATACACAAATCAAGGAGTGAAGATAAGAGATGGGTTGTCTGGAAAATGAGTCTTAAAGTTAATTATCTGAGTAAGAGATTGGTAACAACAAAAGTTTTAAGCTCATCAGCAAGGTCAGTAGTACTAGAGCCAACCCATTCAGTGTGCAAGCATTAAAGTCACCCACAATAATATTACCTGGTAAATAGATACAACGTTTTTTTTACTTTTTTATAATTATGGTTACTTGAGTTGTGCTTACCAGGCTTTCCCAGGAAAGGCGTGCGGTCGCACGCCTTGTTTGTCCACGCATAGAATAAATTTTTCTGACTAACTGACTACGTTTTATTATTATGCGTTTCAAGAATTCGCGCCAAAACAAAGCTAAACGAAAATACCGCAAAAATGCAAGCAATCTTAAAGTGAATAACAGAAATCTGTTTGTGCTTTAAAATTAAAAAATTAATGCATATTATTAAAAAAAAAATTTACCTATAATTTATTTATTTATTTAGGGTGGTAGTTATTTAAGCTATGAAAAATCAAATCAATAAGAAAAATCAAATCAAAAAGAAAAAGATTAATGCTTAAAGAAAATAAAAAGACCTTTTAATGTAAAATTTGTTTATGACTTTTATCAGTCAGTAATACTTTAAAATTCACGATAGAACTATAAACAATTTTTAAATGTTTCGTAAATACATTTAAATGTTTAAATGTATTGATTTTAATGTTTGAATGTATTGATACGCAAGAAAACACGAAAACGATGCCTATTTATTAGTAAAATATGTTTGTTTGTTTTTTTAAATGAAAGAAAATGTTATTGTCAAACGATTGAGTTGCTTATTTTGCGATCATTAATTGACATTGTGAACGAGTGTTAATATATAATAATGTCCCAAAGGAACTGTTTTCGTAATAATGACAACAGAAGCAATGCAATTATTTTTTTAACTTCTTTCGTAATTACAAAATTATGCAATTGAATAATTTCAACGTAATAAAAGGCGAGCATTGACTCAGTAAAATCAGTTTAGAATAAGTTGAGAACTTTTTTCACATTAAAATTTTGTTATGTTTAAAATCTCAAATAATATATTTAATAATTAAAACAGCAATTTATTTTCTTGTCTATGTATTGGGGAATAAAGTCATTGCCTTTGCATAAACCTTCGTAAAAACTAAATTAAATGAAAAAGTTTGACCAAATTTGTCTAGCGTAAATAATGAATCAATTTTTTAATACATTGTCTGATAAAGTTCGTGAATAAATTACGTATCAAGTCTTTTTATTTTCGTAAAAACTTTATGACTTATTGTCGTCTTTTCCTTGACTTGTATCAAATTTCGTAGCTGAAAATAGCAACCCTAATAAAAGAAAACAAAAACAGTATAAAATTAAAAAAAAAATGTTCAAGACTTTTTTTTTTGTTACAAGAATTTTTTTTTTAATTTTTTTTTATTATCGAAATATTTTTCTTACATCCAATTTCAATTTTATACTTTGTTTAGACTTCGTTTCATTTTTTAAATATTATTTTTTATTCTCTATGGATAATTTCCGCTTTCTTACGAAATATTGCCGCGGTCACATTTTCTGAAAAATTTATTCTATGCGTGGACAAACAAGGCGTGCGACCGCACGCCTTTCCTGGGAAAGCCTGGCTTACAACCATTTCTCAACTCTATAACTCCAAAACACGAACCTTGACAAACAAGGCTGCTGCTCGGAGAAACAAGTTGAGTGCGGTACTACCAGGGACATGGTGTGGATTGAACTTGGAACTTCTTGTTTATGAGGTAAGCGATCTACCACTACACCACTACCGCATATGTTAATTAAGTGAATGGTGTTAATTAAGTGAGTGGTGCTAAACAGAAGCACATAAAAGAATGGCAAGAAGATTCAAACCTGATTTTACTATTGAATTGATAAACAATAGGATAGGAATTGATAAACAATAGGTTTAGGAAACCTTACCACCAGCTGGCCTCAGAACTCAGTTTTAGAGCTTTATTATTAGAGGATAACAGGAAGAGTTGCATCAAAAAGGTACAAGCAAAAAACCATGAGTAGAATCAAGAAGATCCAGTATCACATATTAGAGTTGGCCAAAAACTTATCAATGCAAAAAAATAATGTCCATTATTCTCATAATACTAAATCTTGTGTGTTATCTCAAAGTTAGCCCTAGAGACTTTCGGAAAATCTTTAATAGTCTCATTAACAAAGGGAAGTCTAACATTTCATCTCTTATAAATGGGTCTGATCTTATTATCTTTCCCAAAATTATGGAAAAACTATTTGCAAAGAACTTTTCCTCTAGTTCATCTCTTAAATTTAATAACAACACTTTTCCTGACATCCCAGAAAAATGGGTTAACCCACTTCAAGAGATCCAAATCTTTTTAACTATCCCTCTCTCACAAGAACTTTTCTATAGCTTGTGGTCTCACCAACATAACAAAACCTGTCTAACAAAAGTTCAGAACTCTCTTCAATATTTGTCAAACTATTTAACAAGTGTACAACTAAACCTTATTTCAGCTATGAATATAGATCATCTAGACCATATTGTAAAAATCATTTATTTTCCTCCTAATTTAGTTTTTAGCTAAGTTGTTTTTAACTAATTTTTTAAACTTTTCTCATTTTGTATGAGTGATGAGTGAAAAAGCTTAAAAAAGAAATATATTAAAAAATATATACCTAAACTTGTATGTTAAACAGAAAATATTTTGGATATCCGGAAAAACTAAAAATTGAGAAATCCCTGCATTCAGAATCTCAAACTTTGGAGATCACCTCTCTAATCATTAGCAAGGTCTTTAATTAACAATCTTTAAATATCTAATTTTGAGTCGAACAACTGGCTCACTATTCTCACTGACTCAATACAAAGTTTATTCCTTTAGCATTATTGCTGAAATGTTAATAGAAACATATTCTTTAAGCAGTGAGGCGATGAATGCAATTCCTCTTTTACGACAGCTTGGGGTTAGCAATGATGGGTAAACCCTAATGAAACTCAGATGTTTACTGCTAATAATTGCTCCAATATTGTTAATACTTCAATTATATGGATTCAATAATTAATATTTCAGTTATAATGAATGGTAATATTCTTATAGAGTCCTCAAATCATTTTTAGTGATACTGTATTACTAAGGTTATTGCAAAATTATTAGAATATTTATTGATTTAATAATAACACATTAAAAACCTTAACCAAAACATTTACCTGATTCTATAGTTTGAGCGAATGCTTCAAGTCCTTCAAATTGTCCTGTATCAACATTGCTGTTTGCATTTGACTCCTGTCTTAAACATTCTTGAGCTAGTTGTATACTTGTTGTCATACTCATTGAACTCCAAGAATATGTGCTGTCAAAAAGGTTACCTGGTATAAAAAAACAATTATTAATAACATTAAGAACTATATACAAATTAAATATATACATAAAAACTAGATAAAATATAAACCAGTCCAAAATACATTAAATATAAACCAGTCCAAACTACATTAAAGATAGTCCAAACAGGGGTGGACCCAGACCATCTAGTAAAGTAAGGAGGTGATTTTTAGGTTTAATGATTTGTGAACAGGTAAGTCCAAAAACGATAAAACTTTTTTAGTTAACTTTTTCAGAATGATAGTCTTGCACTGTCTTAATCTATTAACTATAAAATTATTCATATATTGAAGTCATATATTGATATCCTAAAAGTCTGTTGTTTTTTTTTTTTTTTTTTTTGTTTGCACCACAAAACTTTATTAAAATTTCATATCAATTTTAAAAGTCTTCCTAATTTAATTTCCATTTCCAAACAACATGTGTTAAATATATAAATTAAAAAAAAAAAATTCTAATTTAAGAGATATATGTCATATAAGGAAGTTTTATTTTCAAATTATTTTTATTTTAGTTAATAAGTTATTAGATACATCAATGATGCTTATTGAACTTAATTAATTTTTATTTCTTCAAAACAATTTTTTACGTATTTGCAAATTGCGCACAAATTAATGATAATTAATATGCAATGACTTAACAATTGCAAATTGTTATCCTTTGATAATGAATTTTTCTCAATTTAGTTCGCTAAGTTTCTTTACAAATAAAAAAAAACGGACAAACTTAAAAAAATAAATAATAAAAAGGAGCTAAAAATAAAATAAAAGTTGTTTTGACATTACTTTTTTAAAAATTATAAAAATAATATCATATTAAGTACTTAATAATAAGTTAATAAAAATATCATATCATTGATGCACAATAAAAAATAAAAACTATAATAAACATATTAATATATAAAAATATATTATATTAGATTGTATATATTTCAGCAAGACATAATTATTCTTTTCAAACATTTTAAAAGTGTTTTTAATATGCAAATGAGCATTACTTCACTTTAAAAAAAATTTAGAAAATTAAAAAAAAAGCACACTATAGAAAAAAGCAATTGTAATGTTTAAGCATGGTTTCCTTTAAAGTAATTGCAAATGCATTCATTTTAAGTAAAATTTTGCATGTTATTGTTAAGGCATGCAAAAACCATGCTAAAAAAACCATCTTTGATAGCCTACTTAGTTATTTTACTTAATAGTAATGGTATTGAAAGAAATAATTATGTTATAGCATAATTTCTTTTTAAGTCTTTAAATTGTGTTTTAAATTTAGTAACTAACTGTTGTTTTTTTTATCATAAATATGTGATTTTTATAATAAATAAAAAACTATCAAATGCATATTTATTTGGAAAAAAAAACTGCTGAAGTAATGCATGTTTTTAAAAATTTTAAGCAAACGCCAACGTTTGCATATGGAAAAATATAGACGTTCATTTTTCTTTTTTTATAAAACATATTAACATAAGTTTGCACTTTCGTATATTTGATGCGCAATTTTAAGCATGTTTGTTACGTCAATATTACAAGAATATATACATAACAAGTGTCATTTATTGTAGCATGAAAAAACTCTATAGACAAGCGTTGTTTTTACTGCTAATAAAAAAAGTTTTATATTTTCTCATGGTAATAAAATGCAGGCATTTTAAGAAATATTAAAAACAGTTATTAAAATGAATGCATTTTTTATTTTAGTTACAATTATAATTATACTTTTGAAAAAAAAATTATATTTTTGTGAGAGCCATAAATTGCAGATTAAATTTTTTAACATTAAAATCATGTATAATTACAGATAGAATTTTACACATATTGTTAGTATTTGGCTACTTTAATTTTAAAGTAGTAGGTGTGTTTCAACCATTATACATGCTGAATCAATTAACACACCCATATTAAAATGCTAGAAGACTGGGTTCCATCAATAGGCATGCTAATTGATTAAAACGATTGGTGCCATTTTCAATAATATGTGGCATCTTCTCATACAGCTTGTACACTCAAACATGGATGAAAGAAAAAAATTGAATTATTGCCCAGCTTGATCATCAGATTTTATTTTAATCAAACCTATTTGGGTTTAAATGAACAAAGAAATAATCAAGGCCTAAACAAAATACATAACTAGTCTAAAGTAAGAACTAGTTTGGACTCTTCTTTATGTTTGATAACATTTTTATATAAATTTTGTTTTAATGTCATTCTAGGGTGCAAGATTTGTTTCACAAAATTTTTCTTGCAAAAAAATAAAAAAATTAGTTAACAATCTTTTTAGTTTCTATTTTATGATCTTCCTTGTATCATCCTGATAACCAGGCTTGGTCAGGAAGCAGGTGCGATCGCACTCAATAATTGACCACAGAAATAATATTTAGTTGCGAAAAACCGGCCAGATTTTTTAGTCGTTTTAAGACATTTCAAAAACGAAAAAAAAAGCACAATAAGATTACCTGGACCGATGAGAGACAGTTAGAAAAAGAAAAATAACTTTTAACGCTAAAAAAATTTAAGCAAAATAAATACAATTAGAGCGAATATTTTTGAAACTTTTTTATAATTTTTTTTATATAACTAAGCGACATTTTTTATATAAAGTAGCAACTTACTATTAATGATTGTTTAATAAGGAAACAAATGTTATTCGATTTATCAAAGAGTATATATAATTTTTATTTATATACTTATAACTTAGTTCCAGTGCTGATTGAGGAGGTAGGGGGGGGGGAAGAAGGACTATAGCCCTGGGACTCACAATGTTAGGGGCCGCGAAATAGTCAAGAGGACCATTTGGTATTTTTTTTAATCATTTTTACGCTCTGGCATATTGAAAAGTCCAACAAGATTCAACCAATAAAACTATTACTAGATAATTTATTTATTAATAAAAAAGTTTTTTCAATAACTATTTTAAGATTCGCGTAGTTTGAAAAGTTTAACACATTTGAAAGAATTCTTCTTAGTAAGATGAACAAATGAAATAATTAAATCATTGAGTTACTGTAGAAATTTAATTAGCTAGATAGAAATAAATTAAAACCTTCAATTACTTTGTGATGAGGAAGCGGAACTGCTTCACAATCACGCTGATGATGTTTAGTGAATGGGCTTTATAATTTAAATTAGTATTTAAAACAGAAAAAAGTAACTTGAAGTTTAAGTATAACGAGTTTGTAAGAATGGCTGAAGCAAAAATAATTGAAATAGTAAACCAATTTCTAAGAACTTAAAAACTTTTCTTTTTTGGGGGAAAGAATCAGTTATTGGGTACACTGAGAAAAATGGATTAGTGGTTAAAATTATTTGTATTATCTTTGATGATTATTAATAATTTCATTGAAAACACTTATTATTGAAAGTATTTTTGTTTACAAAATCAATCGCACATATTGCTCTAAAAGATTACATTTGAATAAAATACACATACATAAAATTACATACATAAAAATACATACATAAAAATACATTACATAGATAAAAAATACATTCCTTATATATGAAAAATAAGAATATACTAATAAAGTCTATAATATATTTACAAAACGTTGACAAGTTAAAAAATATAAATTTAAAACATTTATTTCTGTAAACAAATGTTAGTTTAAAACATTTTTTGCTTTGTAGATGTGGCTCTGAGACTTAAAATAATAGTTTGTTTGATATTCTGAAAACAATTTATACTAGAAATCTCAACGAAAACATAACAAAACTCAAATAATACAATTTTTAAAAAAAAAACAGAATCCTCAAAAACATACAGTTAGTTTATTTTGAATACTCTAAAAATTTCGGTTGGGTAGCAGGAAAAAATCCCCCGGCAAAAAATCCCCTTGAGAAAAAAATTTCTCCCCCCCCCCCCCTGCAAAAAAAAAAAAAAAAAATTTAATTAAAAATTATCAATAAAATAGTTATATTTATTTATTTTAAATAGTTTTATAAAATACTTCATTTATCATCAAAATGAGAAGTTATGCGCTACTCCTCGGTTGTCGGTAAAATGCAAACTGCGAACCATAAAATGCGAACTTTTTTGCGAACCAAACATTATATCTTAAAGACCATTATTTTTATGATAATAATAATAATAAAAACTCCATTTCTTAATTACCTATTTTAAAGCTTTAATTAAAATAAAATTTTTATTTTTTAACTGTAAAACATGCGTGGAGTGTTACTACATCGCAACAGAGTGCTGCTACATCGACTGACAAATAGCCTGACTTGCAACGGAGTGCTGTTACATCAACTGAGGGTTTGGATTAGGTAGACAGTCTATCAAATAATAAAAATAAAAATATTTTCATATTGTATTCGTCTAGTTTCACTTATTTTCCTTTTATTTTTTTTTAAATAATGTTTCTCTTAAAAGTCCTTAAAATATACTGCTAAATAAACTTTTAAACAGTAAATGATAAATAAAGTATTACATCAGTAACAACCAATACGACGATTGTTTGCAAAAAAGTTAATTCGCAGTTCGTCACATTCGCTAACTTCGAGGAATAGCGCATAACTTGACATTTTGATGAGAAATGAAGTATTTTATACAAATATTTAAAATAAATACAGAAATAAACATAACTACATATTGATAATTTTTTAATTAAAAAAATTTTTTTTTGGGGGAGGATATTTTCCGAGGAGACTTTTTCTCGGGGGATTTTCTCTCGGGGGATTATTTCGGGGGGATTTTTTCCTAGAAGCTATTTTTTGAACCAATAGAATTAGTTGTTTGTAGATTTGGCGGGATTTTTGTGTTCGCAAATATTCTTTTTTTATTTTTTTGGGCAAAGATGTTTGAGAATATTCAAGTTTTTGTATGTTTCCATGTATGTCTGTAAAACAAAATATTTTAAAATTTACGATAAAATAATAAACTTAATTATTATTTTGCGGTCAAATATTATATCAAAATAATTATATCAAAATATCAAAATAATTATATGCGGTAGTGGTGTAGTGGTAAGAGCGCTCGCTTTGTAAGCGAGAGGTTCGGAGTTCGACTCCCACCATGTCCCTTGAAGTACTGCGCTCAACTTAATTTCTCCGCGCAGCGGCCTTGTTTGTCAAGGTTCGTGTTTCGGAGTTAAAGAGTTGAGAGAGGGTTGTACCACGATTTACAACAAAAAAAAAAAAAATGAGTAGCCTCCTCGACTGTAGTGGCCCCCTCGGGCCTTGGGGAGGTGAATAATTATTAAAAAAAAAAAAAAAAAAAAAAAAAAAAAAAAAAAAAAAAACAAGGAAACAAACATATATAAACTTAAATGTTCTCAAAATGACTAAAAAATCTGGCCAGTTTTTTGCAACTAAATATTATTTCCGTGGTCAGTTATCGAGTGCGATCACACCCGCTTCCCGACCAAGCCTGAATAAAACATTTTAGTTTCTATTTTATGATCTTCCAAGTATCACTCCTGATAACACATTTTTTCATTTAGTAGCCTTGTTGTTAATAATGACTTGTTGTTTACTGTTTGAAAGCCACTGTTTGAAAGGTAGGTAGTCAGTTAGTAGAGAGGGTTTACTTACTTTTGGAATGAGTATGATGTTTGCATAAACCAATCAGATGGTACAATACATTTGTTGACACAATGGTTAAAAATTGTAAAAGATATGCCGTCATAGCCGGCTGGTGTCAATTTGGTGCGCTTGAACTGTTTACTGACATTAAAAAAGTTGAAAATGGACAATACTGGTGGAGAGGAGGCTCTTCATTAAATTATTATTTATTAAAGATTCTTTCCTTTATTTCTTATTAAATTCTATATTTCTTCTTTACCTAAAAAATTATTTACTTAATTCCATATGAAGTACAAGCCTTAATAAATCAATATAAAATTATATTTACTTGTAAACAATATTTAGGATCAAAAAAAACTATTTAAAAAATAAACAGTTTTTTTCTTGCAAAACAATTAGCTTTGACTAATTTAGAGGATCACAACTTGGAGATTTCACAGAATCATTTTCAAAAAGGTGACCATATGGTATTTTTATTATTTACTGAATAATCTTAAAGGTTACTAATTCCATATATAATTCAATAAAGTATAAGTTTTTCTATAAAAGAAATGTTGAACAAACCAAAACAATTCTATTTAAAAAAACCTTTAGAAAATCAGTAAACTATAAAAAAATTTCTAACCTCTAGTCATCTTTTGCTTTTGAACAAATGTAAGATTTAAGCCATGTATTTCTAGCTCGCAACTATCATTCAATAATGCTTTCCATGGCACTGAAACTGAAATGCTAGAAATAAAACCATCAACAAGTTCCAATGCTACACCAGCATTAGAGAGCATTTCATTCAAAGCCTGAGTTAAAAAACATTTATTTAGCAAAAAGTATTTAAGTAAGTAACTAATATATTAATATTACCTTACAGCTTGTGCTATAAATATAACTATTTAATAAAAAATTAAATAAAGCTAAATAAAATTAAAGTTAATTAAATAAAATTAAATAACATGCATCGAATAAGTTAAGCTTTTATTTAATAAGATTTATACTACTTATAGTAGCATAGATCAACTAACAATTGGTCAGATTGAATCTATATTATTTACTAAATACTCAGCCCTGATCTTCAAAAACAGGTTAACAGAAAAAAGAGCATTTGGTTGAAAAAAATGCAGAGCCACATACATTAAATGCACATTAAATATGATAGCTTATGACTAGATAAATCAGTCAATGTACTCCATAAATGTACTAATACACTCCAGCCTTAGCCATAGGCTAGATAGATCATAAAGTCAATGTATAATTTATTTATGGGTGGATAAACCAGTATTTGAATATCCACTCCAATGCACCTATGGCTAGATAAATCAATTAATTTATGTACACTCCACTAAACTTATGGTAGTTATAGTATTTATGTAGTATGGTTATAATAGTGTTTATGGGATAGTGGTGTAGTGGTAGAGCGCTTGCTTCATAAGCGAGAGGTTCCCAGTTTGATCTCCACCACATCCCTGGTAGTACTGCACTCAACTTGTTACTCTGCCAACTTGTTTGCCAAGGTTCGTGTTTCTAAGTTATAGAATTGAGAGAGGGTTATAAACACATTTAAGTAGCCTCCTCGTCTGTAGTGGCCTTCTCAGTCTTAGAAAGGTGAATTTACAATTAAAAAAAAAGTATACAAAAATTAAAAAAAAAACAGCAAAAACATTCTTAAAAAAAAAACTTTCTACTTAAACTTTTTAATAATAAAGCATATTACATATCATAATCTTTTAAAAAAAAACACACACAATAATAATAACTTTAAAAACTACTTTTATATTTCTAAAGAAAGTTTTTTATAACACTTATATTTTCATTATATCAAAATATTTAAATATAAATAGATACTGAATAGATACTAAAAAACACACCCAAACATCTAGGAGTATGTTAGTGACAGTTCCTTTACCATTATATAAATCAACAGTTAATTGATCTAAGTCCAACTTTTCTTTCAGGAAATCCCCTAAATAATGCTGCAATAGATAACGACATGCTCTCTTTTTTATTGATTCGGACCATGGAAAATACCAGGGCATTCTAAATAAGTTTATTCATGTTGGAGAGTTTAAACTATCCAAGCTAAAAAAATAAAAGCAAATTAAATTATTTAATTAGAAATTATGAAATTTATAATCATGATATATAATAATAAATCTCAACATCAAATAAAACCAAAAAAAATTTGATAATGATATATAAAATATATATATATATATATATATATATATATATATATATATATATATATTTATATATATATAATATATATATATATATATATATATATATATATATATATATATATATATATATATTTATATATATATATATATTTATATATATATAATATATATATATATATATATATATATATATATATATATATATATATATATATATATATATATATATATATATATATATATATATATATATATATATATATATATATATATATATATATATATATATATAGCTTTCAACTGATCTAGAAAGTTTTCGATGTTTCTGGAAAATTAAAAAGTTATATAGTATTTTATTTACATGTTTTGTAAATAAAATACTATATAAAAAACTGTTAGTTAGCTTTTTTTAAAATAAACTGAACTAAAGAATTGAAGCAAGTTTTTTTTGTTAATTTAAGTACATTGATATTTGTTAATTTGCGTTGTTGTGTTTGTAAATAAAAATCTTGCAAAAAATATTTTAGATGATCTTAAAAATTGTTTTACAATATACAGAGGCTTTCAGCTCATATTAGATATTGCCTAAGTTAAAAAATAGTTCTATGACTCTCAAATGGTTTTTTATTATATTTGCTTATATACCTAGTTTATTTAACTTTAGATTCTACTAGTTGATATTAAATTTCTCAATATCTAATTAATACTTTAATACACAAAGATTATTCTAATGTCTTTTCAAAAAACTGTACTTTTTTTCAAAACATTTAGTAATTTGTTCTATGTTTTTGAAATGTTTAGGTTTTATGTTTTTAAACTTATTAGATGTTGATTTATTATACTTTATATGTAAGCAACTATATATCTTATTTATTTCTAATATTATAACTTTAACATTTAGTAACAAACCAGAAATTTTTCTCATTAATAACACTTATAAAATTATAATAACACTTATAAAATTATAATAACACTTATAAAATTATAATAACCCTAATAACACTTATAAAATTATTCAAGTCTTCTTTTCTAAAATAATAAATAAAATCATATTATAAATAAATAAATTACTTCATATACATTATTACATGAGTTTGTCGCAATGTAAAATGAAGAAACTGTATGTGTATGTGAAATGGATAAATAATTATACCCATTATATAGGTTTATGTATACACATACACATACTTATTATTCAACTTATATATGTGTATTCTATTGTATTATCCACGGAATAGGATCAAATGGAAAAAAAAATGTATTTTGTATTTATAATCTAATGAAGATTGATAGTAGGTAGACCATACACGTTTGTTCTCTCGCGGAATCAATACTTGAAATCAAATATTTTCTTTTCTGGCATTAAAAAAGGTGTTAACTAAAAAGGTATAAGATATTTGAATCCTTAATAACACTTATAAAATATCAAAAATGCTGGTGAATTATCTCTCGTGTTATGAAAATTTTTATCTAAACCGTAAACACGAAAAAGACGGGGAGCTGCAATATTTTTGAGTGCAGTTTTAAGATTACTTAATAAAAAAAATTACTTTCGACTCCCTAATTAGAAAGACGGAACAACGGTATCACTCTAGGTAAACGCCAGTATCGCTATAGGTAAACGCGTTAGAGATCAAAAAACAATCAATTTCATTTTGTAGAGAATTTAGATCAAGTTGAAATCTATCTCTTAAATTATTTATTCGTTTTAATCGGTTTTATTATTGTACTCCGAATTTACCTGAAACAAGAATTCAGACGTTTAAATCGAATTTAAAGCGAAAAGAAATGGAAAGTGGAATTTGAATTTTAAAAACACATTAAATTGAAAAAGAAATTTTATAAAATCAATGAAAGTACATTTTTGAATAATCATTTTTTATACAAAAAATTTTTATTTTTTAGCCCATAACTACCAATATATCAAAATATGACAACAAAAATCAGTGACGGATCCAGCATTTTCTGGTGTTTGAGATAACTTCCAGACGTGGAGCAAACTCCATTTTGTAGGGGTTTTTGCTCATGTCAAATAATGATGCTTTGCATAAAATTGCGATGATTTGAGGGTGGGAACAAAAAAAACCTTTCATTCTTCCCTGGCCTAAATGTGAGAGCGACAAGTTGATAAAGTATTTTTTTGCTATTCTTAACTAAATTCATATTCATCGATAAATTTTAAGTTTTTATAGTATTATCTTATTTTGAGGGAGTTACAAACTTAATATGATCATTATTTTTGAAGACATATAGATTGTACAATAATACTTAAAATTTATCGCTGAATATAAATTTACTTGAGAATAGCAAAAAATTATTTTATCAACTTGTTACCCTAACGTTTGGGGCAAAGGGGGAAAAAATTTAGGGCTTTTCGTTACAAGCCTACAACCCAGGCACGTTTTACTATTACGAATCGCGTGTACAATGCAAGTAACTCTAATGATTATAACATGCTATTAAACAGTCTACTAAATAAATCAACTGTTTCTCTAGTTACTTTCTAGATGTCAATAATATATTTCATTGTATGCCATTCTTAGCTTTACAAGGTGCTTGAACGATTGCAAGTGTATTTGCCAAAATAATTCATTCTGTTTGGGTACTGTTTAGCAATTTTTTAATGTTAATTTTGTCAATTTGTTTTTTGTGTATCTGAGCAAACATGATGTTGTTCAGGTGATTACCTCCAGTTTGTTACATAACCCATGTTTTTACTCTCCTCATTACACTAAAGTTTCTTTCATACGATGATGTTGAAAAAGGCATGGTGTAGTGAAGCTTCATTAATTTTGTTTTGCTACTGGCATGGCATTAAAAATATCTAAAATTGTTGCCATTCTGGAAACACTCTGTGTTTTGATTAATGCATTAGCATTATACAGGTTAATAATTGTTGGTAGCCTCTTCAACTCAACTTTTTGTTCCAAGATGTCAACATCATTAAAAATTGGCATTCCAAAATAAAAACGGTGGGGAATCTTGTTTATTCAACGATGAAATCAAACCTTCTTCTATATTTCTTACAGCTGTTAATCCATCCTGTTTAAACCTCTCACTCAAAATGTTCTGGATAGCATCAATTGCTTCAAAATAAGATTTCCTTTTTTTTGCTCTGATTTGACAGGACCAGTTAATGTCTCGCCAAATGTAAGCTTCTTAGTAATTACTGAATCGCGTAATGTCTATAAATTACTCTTTGTCTCTGCGTTATTTCGTTTTTAAACTCTATGTCTTGCTTGATTTCAGGTATTTCTTTTGTCGCTTTTAAAATTATATTAATTCCTTATCTGATATATGTCCTGCAAATCTCTGAGACGCATTTCGAATGCAGAATACTGCAACATCACCTGTCAGATTAGTTTCTTGTAACTGCTTTCATAGATTCTCTAGAATAGCAAAAAATTTAAAAGTGCTTTGCTTTTCAAAAAATGTTTTTACTGATGAAAAAAAATGTTTTTACTGATGAAAAAAAATGTTTTTACTGATGAAAAAAAATGTTTTTACTGATTAAAGCTGAGATAATAAACCTTTAATTTGTGCTCTTGTTTCTGCAGCAATAGTCTTGTCACTCTGAAGACTGCTCAATATTGTACATACTTCTGCAATCTTCTTCAACACCACTTTTACTGCTTTTGTTCGTGTCTGTCAATCGAGTCATTGACATAGCTTCAGTTGCAATATTCTGTATTCATCTGATTCAGACTCATGCAAAATATTCTTTTGATTTTGTTCAAAAAAACAACACGCTTCGGATATGCCTCAGCAGTTGTATAAATTGACTGGAAAATGCTGAGAGAATCTGACAGTAGTGATGATATTGCATATGTATTCTTAACAATCAGCTCGCTGCAATGTGTCATGCAATAAAAATATTTTGCTTGCTGTCCAAAAATATTTTTCATTTTTGCTGCCAAGCATTTCATAACTGATGCTCCATCAAAGCCAATACGGGCCCTTTTTGTATATTCTAAATTGCACCTCAAAAGAATATCTTCAATATATATCACCAAAGGCATCTGCAGAAAGACCGTACACGCATTCATATACTCCGATAAAATCTTCATTCACTTCATAGTTTTCACCGCAAGTTCTTATGTTAAACAACATTTGTTCCTTTTTAGTAATATCTGAAGATTCATCAGCGAGTACTGAATAGAAACATTCATCTTTGATCAGTTCAAAAATCTGCCTTCATGCTTCTATGATGAGAAATTGTTCATGCTCTTGCATGAACAATTTCTAAGTGCTAAGAGATAAAACATAATGGTTTTTAATCATCAACAATTCTAATGCCTTTTCACTTTTACTCTTATCCAAATTAAACTTGTAAATGTTGGATTCTTCATCATTATCACCTCTTATAGCTACAATCTGTCGAAGCAATGTTTTTAATAATCCAAAATGAGCTAGCAAGCCTTTTTTTGAACTACTTTCTTCTCCATGTAAATTTTATCAATTTGAGCATTAATTATTGTAAACTTTATATTTTTTTCTCAATATTTAGAGCGCTTGCAACCTTAAGAAGACTGCAGTCCTTTAGATCTTTTAGTGCTGCTGCAGATTTGCTCCATCTTCTAAATCCTTTCCCGACTCAATGGTTGAACACTCCACCAGAACATAAATCATATTTTGTACAGGCTTCACTTAAGACAGCTTTCAGTGATTGATCATAAAATAACCAATTAAACTCATTAAACCAAGCCTTAATACAAGTTCTTCCATTTCTGTCACTGTCTTTTTTATAAATTTAACTGAAATCCTCCGCTTTTCTAACAAGATTTTCCGTTAGAATTTCACCGTCTTTTGCATCGGCTCCTGTTTTACTGTATTGGATTCTGTATTAAGATTACAATTAAGAAATAAAACACTTTACAATGTGTTCCTTTTTTTCTT